AAAATTGTACTAGTTGTTAAATGGGTTTATAGAAAAAATTAAGAAAACGGTTTGTATGCGACCGAATAAAAATTATGTTGCCCAGGACTCTGAGCAATAAAATTGAGATGAAAACGAAAGCTTTTATCTGCACAAGAATTTCACCCCAGAATTCCGAGGACAGCCCTGGGAGAGCGAGAGTGAGAGGTCCACTTCCAGATACTCACGCGTGCGGGTCTGTATTTATTTGTTTGTCCTAGGCAAAGCCCCAGCTGCAGCCACAGCCACAGTCTTAGCCTGTCTCGGCCCCAGCCTCAGCCCCACACATTCCATTATACAGATAAAGAGAAAGTTCTCTCTCTCCCACACGCACAGCATCCGCATAAGCATCGGCCAGCAAAAAAGCTTTGCTTCTCTCGGTAAGCTTTGGTACAAGGCGAGCTTTATTGCGCAGGTGATGATGCTAAAGTATGTCACCGGGACATCTGGGCATCTCCTCTCCACTGCATTCCCTTACACATACACAGATGTTAGTTCTTATTATTGTTATTCGCCCGAGGATTCCCATTTAACAATTGTCAACTGAAAACTTTTCAATTACAGTGGATAAATTGAATATTATATACAATTACTAGACTGGACAAATAGATATGCAACTGTATATGTAAGTACATATGGTTTTTATGTGGAAAACAGGCCCCTTCCCCACTTGCTGCCTTCCTTCCTTCGCTGGCTTGATTGTTCCCAGTGAAAGTTATTGCTAACATATGATGTCCTCAGAAAAGAATACTCTCTATCCACTTTGCATTGGATTGGAATGACTTTATTAGTATAGTCATGTTCATAAGATTGCATCCGACTTGGTGGTATTTATAAAATTCTATAATTATGTAGTTACTCGTTATAAGAATTTAAAATAGTATCATGAAAATGTGTTTAACTAAGCTTTTCTTTAAGTACATTCAGAAAAAAGTGTATCTGATTTCTATATAGATATATGGAAAAATCAAATTTTATTTGGAGCCATATGAAAAACATATTGAACTAATCGAAATACTTATCTTTCTTAAGCTATTTTGAACTATTTAAAATAAATTAAAATTGATATAAATTTATTTTATTGTCTTTTTATATACAAGATTAATGCATTAATTGCCTGACGATTTTCATATACCTGACATTATATATTATAGTATACTTTTATATATAATAGTTAACCCTATTGAACTTCAATTTAAAGCATAAATTAAAATTGCGAAACGTATAGTTCATATTTACCTTTTAGAAAATATGTATTTGTGTATTTCAGGTCAACATTTTTTGTATATATCAGCTTTTAGTTTTTTTTTTTTTTTTTATAACAATATCATATTATTCTATACTTTACATACCCAGATTTAAAAATATTCATTATATGCATATAATTACCTTGTAAATCTTCCAAATTATCTCCTAAAAGCTTGCCACTTGCGGATTCATCTTGAAGATAGTCCAAGACGGTGTCTTCATCTGTTTTTGTGACCTGAAATCTGTCTGGCATGTTTGTGGCTTTGATAATCTGAAAACATATAATAAAAATTTTAATTATTTATCTTTTTTTTTTATCATTTTAGTTAAATGCATTATAAATCGGGATTACTTCAAATGCCTTTTGTATAATTTCCGAGATTGCGCTCGCAACAGTTTGTCAGGATAGACAAAAATCTTTTAAAATTTCAATAGAGCCAAGATAAGGATAATATACCAAGATATTCCCATGGAAACTTTATTGTCACCCAGCTCCCGAAATTATTTCCACAACGGATCTGTTTCCGCACTCACACACGAATGACGCTTGTATCGAAAAATCACCTTGAGCGTGGCGATAAGTCGAATAGAGTTTCGGGTTCGGCGCTAATGGAATACTACGACACACCCAACGCACATGATTTGAAACAGATAAGCCATACAGACAAGTTAGTCCACGTATTAACAGACATATTGCAATTAACACATCTGCACAATGCCAATAAAATCTGTTAACAAATTTGTTAAGGTAATAAGGAAGCACACCTTTCCGAAATTGACAAAAGACGTGAAATCCTAGGGGACTGCATAAAAGTAAGAAACTTTCCACAATAACTGAAAAATATGTTAGCATGCTGGATTATTTAGCATTTGATTTAATACAATATTAATGAATATATGTGTGATATAATAGAGTTACGTTTCTGAAAAAAAGTAGGATTTTCAGCCACACCATGATGGCTAAGTAAGACAAAATAGTTTTATCAAATTTTCATTGCTGCAATCACCATGCAATGCATTGTTCATTTTAGCCAAGCTCCTTCTTTTCCCTTTTAGCCACATCCTTATATTAATTCTAACTTAATTTACAAGTTGCATTCATTCATTTTACAAATTATTAATAAAATTAGCTTGTAAAATCTCTTAAAGCTATCACGTTGTCAAGCTCTTTCGAAACCCCTATAGTACATCAGCTGATTTTGTTATCGACTCCTGTTTACAGCTATTGCGAAGCGAGCCAGCGCCAACTAAACGAGTAAATTCAATATCCACTTTCAGTTTCTCTACCCTGATGTTACGCACATAACTGAATAAGCATATGGATTTTTTGGAATCGTTTAGTCAGACACTAAATATTTTCAATTATTAGATATTAGTACCCAGACTTAAAGTCTTCATTCATTTATGATAACAAATATAGTTCATTCACAAATTAAATGTATGACACAATTTATTGCATAATATTCTATTATTCAAAATTTTGTGACACAACTCATTAATTATAAATTTCACAATTTACCTAATCTATAATATCTTATGTCACAACTTTTGGCTAGGCATTAAAACATTTCTATATCATGTGAAAAAAACCAAAAAGAAAGGGTATTTAGACTTCGTCGTGACATAGCGAAACGTTCTTTCGTTGTTTATCCCTCTTTTTGTATATGCATACACATATACACACGCAGTTGTAGCGGTATATAAATGTGAAAACATACAGACAAATGTATGCACGCCTTTATGTATGTATGTATGTATGTATTTAGTAGCTAGCATAGCTTGAACTTTAAATCATAAGATTCTTGAAGCAGCAGCAGTTCAGTTCAGTTCAGTGAGTAAAAATTGAAACAAATGTGCACAGACGCATGCATACATACATACATACAGACAATATGCAAAGCATAATTGTAAACGGAATAAAATCAAATTGTACTTACACACACTTATCAACATWCACTCACTCACACGCACACTTGCACATACACATATACACACATATATATATTGATATATATGTATGTATATATTAGTTTGAATGCGAATATTTGTGGTCCATACAAAAAGTAGCTTTCTTTGGTTGCTCTGATGGACAAATTATTGTCTGTTATTAATTATTAATTATTTAAATTATTGTTAAACTATTAGCAGCGTTGATTTTCTTTTCCCTAATATTTTGTGAACTTTTCAATTGTACGAATAAAATTAAACTATCATATTGAAGGCGCATGAGTAACAGAAACCAATTTTTCTACTGTATATAATTTGGAGCTGCGAGTTGGGGGAAATACTGTTGTATTAATGAAAAAGTAACTGAAAACCTATTTAGCGTATTAAGAATGGATACCGATTGTATTTTAGACAAATATAACAACAACAAAACACATATTTTTGTATTTGTATATGTGTCTGTATATATGTACATCTGTATGTATTAATGTTAACATATGAACGTCTGTCCAATTGCATGTTATTTAAGCGCATGTGTTTGTATGTATGCATATATGTACATATGTATGTATATTCGTATGTACATAATATTCAACATCATTTATGTTACATTTGTATGTATATATATACAAAAACATAAAACATATATGTATGTATATTCATACCATACACACCTATGTATGTACATCTACATAATATGCATATCTATTTTTTTTTTCTATATTTTGAGCTTATCTATAAAGCATAAATTTAATAGATTAGTTTTCATTACATGTTTCTAAAATACATCATGTTTTATGTCTTTCAGTATATGTATATGTATTTTACAAATAACTGTTCATTAAATTTTTCCAAGATACAATTAAATTTTTGAAAATTTAATGATTGTTATCTGATCAAGTATTAATCATTGTCATAGGTCTTAAAGATAAGGCCTGAGAATGCTTTAACGAGGTCTAATATAAATCTACCTCACCATAAAGCTTAAATATTTGTTTGATCAGCATTAAAATCTAGAATGAATGGAATTCGAGCAAATTGTAGACTTTTAGTCTGAAAATCATACATAGATACATATGTACATATGTATGTATATATATTTAATCATAGCTCGTACGTGAGAGAGCGTATGTGTGATTAAATGATCTAAGGCTCAAGGGTCAAGTGTATCTTGAAAAATCTTGACATACTAAATATGGTTAATATGTGCATATCGAAATAGGTCTCTTGATGTTATCTCAAGTTGTGTCAAGTTAAATAGCCGCTTGAAACTGGAAATAATTCCTAATCTGATATATTTAATGGTGTATGAACGTGAGACTAAAACTCAATTATATATATTTTATAGAAAGTTTAATCTTATATATGTATATTCGTTTACTGTTTGCGAAAACAAAAATTCTTATCATTTTTTTCCGATATTTTTTCATTGCGTAATATCGATAAGAGAAAATCGAACTAAAAACAAAAACAATTGAGAAACGTGCAGAGCACAAAGATAGATTTTCGTTTGTTATAAATAGATGAATGAATCCTAAGTTTATTTTTATATATTTTGTGTTTTACTCTTCTTAGCTTTGGATAAAGTAAGTATGAGATGTTTTACCAAGTTTATTATATGAAGTTTAAAATAATTTATAATAAATAATGCAAACCACTTTTTTACTTAAGTTTGTTATTATATATATGTATATTTTTTAATACATAAATATAGCCATTTCAAATCCATACGATATTAAATAAATACATATAAATTTATGTATAAATCAATATGTTTGTTTTAAAACGTAAATATTAATCCCAACATRTAATTAATAAATTTTCACTAGACCTTAAATATTATTGGTATATTTATTAAATAATTTATATATTTATGTTTAAATAAAATAATTTAGGATTGAGGTAAAGCCCATAAAGTTGCAGTCTTATCCGCAGATGTTGAAATAAACGAAAACTCAGTTGGATGCCATCGAATTGTAATCGCCTTGTCTTTGTGCTTGGCCACAACCACTGAGGCAAGATCGTTGGCTAGATCACCCTGTAAATCCGTTAGTTTAATCGTACTATCATAGCTACAGGTGAGCATATAATAAGCCTCTGGTGAAAAGCGGATGCATCTAAAAATAGAAAGAGATATACAAATCACAATAGATAACCTTAAAAAAATTTATAATTACATAGGAAATAGAAATATATCTAAGGAGTCCAGGAGTCTAATTATGTGAATTATATATATGGGCTTCATGGTAAATATTCACTGGCGAAACCCAACTCTAGCGGAGTTAAATATATAAAATACTCCAAGTCCTTAAAGTTATTAATCTATCTATCATATATCAACAATATTCTATATAGCCCGTATAGCATAGTAACTATTTCTTGATCTATATGGTTAGATGGATTATATCTTAGCATTTCCATATACTTTACCTAATTTCCGCGCTATGTGGATAAAATCGTTGTATTAGCCTATTGCCGCGTATATCGTATAACACGCAAGCGCTATCCGCGTGTCCCGACACCAGCAGTCGCCCAGTCGGATCGACGCAAACTGCAGTCACTGGCGATTTCTGCAGCGCTCCAGGCTTATATTCCTGATCAAAGGAGCTGACAGCTTCGTTAACTCGTATATCCCAGAAACGTATCGTTTGATCCTGTGAATGTTACGATAAATATCTCTGGCTGGTCCATCTGGCATAGCTGCGGTGAAATCGATTAATTACCTGCGATCCCGATACAAACATCGTATTATTCCAGCTGTACAGCGATGAGATGTGTCCAGTATGTCCTCCGAAAGCGTGCATTGGCATGCTTGTCACACAGTCTGTTACGTAAATCTTGCAATCGCCAGCGCCGCCACTCGCGAGTAATCGGGATTTGGTTGATGAGTTGTCGAGGAAGCACATATCTCGGACAGTGCCATCGTGCATATTCAGTTCGATCTCTTGGCCCACCAGTTGGTTTGTATCCTTGTTAAATCGCATATACTTGATGGTCTTGTCATTTGACCCAGTCGCGACCAGTTCGCCATCTGCTGACCAGCTCGTACAATATATCGATCCTCGATGATGCTTTGTGCGTTTGCATAAAACAGATGGAGGATAAAAGTGTTGATCGTGTCTACTGGTCGAAAAATCATTATTAAATTATATCTGCAAATTGACTTAACTTGTTATTGTTACCTCAGTTTAGATATTTGCGGATATTGACATATTCGAAAGGTTTTTGAATTTGATCCAACGGCAAAAAGATTTCCATCTGGATGAAAGTCCACGCTGCGTATAGCCTGAGAATCCGTTATGGTTGTAACAGCAACAAACTGTGAGCGTTCTTCATCTCTCTGAAAGCAAAATGGTATTGCTTTAAACTTTAAGTAAAATGTAATATGTCTATAACACATTAACAAATCTGAGGTTATAGGATCTTTTGCAGATCTTTAAGCAAGCGAAGATAATTAAGAAGAGAAAAGTATTTATTACATATTTAAGCCGCAATGGTATTATTGAATAAATAAAATTAAAATTCCTTTAAGACGCCTTTTTATATCAAATCTAGGTTGGAGTACGGTATTGCGCTTTTCTAGTTTCCACTTTTCACTAGAAATGAAATCTACACGAAAATTTGTACTTTCTAACTCCTATTGCATTTGAGTTTAAGGCATTTAGACAGCTCGGCGGAGACGAGACATGCCAACGCACACATTCTTTCGTGCTGCTCAGAGAAATATCTTTTTTTTTTCGCAAAACATTTGAAACTCATTCAGTAATATATAAAAGGTATAAAATTACTAGTTTTTATTCTCCGTTCATACCATTCTTCCATGGGTAAAAATAAGTATGTATAGAATGATTAAAATTGTAAAGAAAATATTTATATATAGATATTACATAAATACAATTTAAAGATCTGCCTTGAGCATTCATAGGAAAGTATTCGATGACGTCTGTTTTCGAAAATTTAAATAAAATTAAATATACAAGTATATAATTTATTGTATACATTAAAAAGTACCGCTATCTTAAAATTTACATTCCTGCATTCACATTTTCTAGCTCAAACTGGAAAAGAAATCAATCAATTTATTTACCTCTCTCATATTTGTATCGCTTCTGTTAGAATTCATTAATTTTAGGAACTAAAATATAAAACCAAAATTATTTATTTATTATAAAAACTGTTTACAAATATGATCAACTGGTATACGTATATACTATATAAATGTGAGCTTTGCAAGAGATGGTAATATCCAATACGGATTACATTTCGTTCTTAAATGTATTCAGGGAATTAGAAAAAATGGGAGATTAGTTTTAATCTTCTTGGTGCATCACGAATACTTTTTGGATGTATAAAATAATAATCGCATTTCGAATATGTTGAAACCATAATTTAAAAGGATATATAATTTATGGAAATTCATAAAGAAATTCATAAGAAAATATATGCAAATTGTTAGCAAAGAACATGCAAACCAAATGCTAGTTATCGAAATGCTAGTTCACTGAACCAGTTTTAATGCTCACAGTTTAAGAAATATGTATATGAAATATGCATATGTTTATTTCATAAAACAAAATTTTATTAAGAAATATATATATGTTAGTATTATTGAAATTTATATATATATGTTAATATACTTTTTCTTCTTCTCAGGAACTCCAATAAGAAATGTAGCATGGAAACAAAAATTAATGTCATTGCATTTATTTAATGTATCGATCTCATATCGAAAGACCCGAATATCGATTAGACTGCCATATTTGTAAAAGTCATATCGATACTTTGACCTTAGCTATCGATGCTTATAGTCCAGACTAAAGATTTAGTTCCACCGGGTAATGGGAAACGATCGCGTTATAAAAAAGATAAAGATGTCGGCTTTGGAACAGCTTAAGAAAATAACTACAATTGTAGCGGATACCGGCGACTTTGATGGTAAATAGAAGGAAGTTATTAAATTGCAAAATTATCCTAGTTTTTAGTACAAGCAATTATGTACACATATAAAGTAAAACAAACAAAAGTCGAACTCATTCACCTCGAGTTTAACTTTTATTTGAACTTCACGCATTCTGCACGTTCATTCAATCCTATAGTATTACACGTGTATACATACATACATGTAAATATATGTATGTACATATGTGAATATACGATTGTAGCTTAGAAACGTGCAAAGATCCTGAAGTTCAAATAAAAGTTAGACGAAGGTGAGTCTGACTTTTGTTTGACCCTCTTTTTTCATTTTTTACCTTAATTATTATTCAATATTTACACTTCATAATGAACTTTGAATAATATATTTTGAGTGTTATCAAAAATATAACCTTAAAATGGAATAACATTTTAAAAAGATTTGTTTATATA